TTTAATAAAATAACCCGTCGCTAAATGAAAAATTTTCTGCAGATGTTATTCTACCCTACTTAACCAATTCAAAAACCCTGATCGAAGAATAAACATATTTGAATTTCCGAGTCTCCTAAATCAGTATTAAAAATGAAAAAATGATATTAAATATATATATGAATTTAGGTGAATTATGAGGAAGGATCCTTAAGCATATGGTTTGGCTCATGTTCACATGAGTTAAACCCCGGGCATGGATGTTTGCACAAGATATGAAAGCTAAACTAAATCGCTGATGTATAAGTACGGTCAAACGAATGAAAATTTCCTCAATGGTTTTATTACCTAAACCCTCTTTCTTCTCTTCTCACTCCTTCAATTTTACATCTATCCTATATATGTCGTTATACCTATAATAACATTTAACAAACGTATATCCAAACCCGACCGCATGTATGTACGTCAGGTTCGATCTAATCCTAGAATATATGAGGCTAATTTGTAACTTGTAATCTCTTGGTAAAAGCCTCGATTGCAGCTCCATGAATTATGTTCCATTCATCGCTGAGCTCGGATATATAATCATAACATTAATGCATTATATTAATAAATTCATTCCTAATGCACCGCTATTTTTCGCGTCATTTAACAATTCAATATTATCTGAATTCTGAATTCGCTCGTACAATAATATACATGATAAAAATAATAATTCAAAGGCTAATAGAGTCTTTGTATGCAAAAATAGTTTAAATTGTTTTACTCAAACTTACCAAATGCCTCCAGTCTCCAGTTTCCAGTCTACGGTCGATCCTATTCGGTACATTCGCCGACTTACAGTTTACAGAGAGCATATTCACAATTCAATTCAAAATACATTTAATTCTCTCAGTTGAACTGTTCAATTTCCAAACTTGTATATAATACGTAGGATCTAGAATTCTCGGCGAAGCCTATATGTATATAAATATACGTATATAAGCACTGCAAACTATCTATAACATATATAATAATATAACGGAGTTTAATTTGTCTTGAAATTCGCAATAAGCTGAGTTTAGTTAGTTTTAAATTTAAATTGAATCGCTTTACTATCAACGATCACAAAGGGCAATTTAGTAAAAACTTATTTTTAAAGAAAAAAATTATTTTTTTCTATTTCAAGTAAGCTCTTTATAAAACACATTCAAGTAATTAATTTCTAGCAACGTAATATTGTACTAGCAACCTTGCAATCACTATATGACTGCCGTGAGTTGTAAACGATAAAAAATTAGAATTTTGCTTTATTAAATAATGAATTTTGTTAAATTGCACCGTACGTTCTTAACTACTGACATTTTTAGAGATATAAGCTCACCCCGACGTTACACTCGTCGAGACCTTTCATTTGAGTACCCACATGCATTTTTGATATATTTTTCATATATACATATGTATATAAATATATGAAAAATTGATGTGGGTACGTCAAATAAAGGACTCGATGAGTGTAATGTCGGGGTGAGCT